GTTCGAGACCTCTCTCTCACAAATACAGATCCAAAAGAAAAAATCAGAAAAAAAACAAGAAGATGATCTTCAAGAATTTCATGCGAGACCTCACATACACACATACATGCACTCCTCCACTCCTCCATATCCTCCAAATGTTCAAGACCTCTCTCTCACAAATACAGATCCAAAAGAAAAAAAACAAGAAGATGATCTTCAAGAATTTCATGAGAGACCTCACGCACACACATACATGCACGCATACACACACGTACTAACACAAATACACACATCCACAAAACACACAAACACACACACACAAAAAGCAACATATGGCCCCCACCCCAACCCCTTCCTTTACGGCCACCTTTGTGTCTGGGCGGCTGCCTAGGCGGCCGCCTCCATGTTTTTTAACAAATTATTAGCGCAATAGTTATGGAAATTTCTCCAACAAATATTTAATACTTAATAACTTGTTTGGCAGGGGCCGTGGGCCCAATGCCTTTGCCTCCTCTCTCTCTCTCTCTTATACTTTTTAATCTTTTGCTCTCTCCACTGGTGTCGCCTTTGGACTCCCTTTACAACTCGGCCCCCCATGAAGATTGCAAAGGGTTTCACTGCCCCTGGCTTGAGCCAAATATAATGCATCCTTAGAGGAGAGAAATGCGCTCTTGGTAGAGAGAGAAAGTTGGTTCACATAGAGAAGCTTTACTGCTGTTTCTAATTGAGATAAGAAGGCAGTTCAGAATGGGAAGTAGCTGTGAAGAATTATTTTCTAGCATAGAGAGAGAGAGTTTGGATTCTAGATTTGGAAAGAGTTATGGCTTCGAGAGAGAGTTTGGGTTTTGGGTTACGGGTTTGCAAAGAGTTGTGCTTTAGAGAGATTGGATCGTGGATTTCAATAGAATTACTAAGGAGAGAAGTAAAAATTTCACAGAGAGAGGTGTTCTGGTTTCTTCTCCGTGTAGAGAGAAAGAGAGAGAGAGAAAGGGGTGCCTTGCTGTTTCTTGTCCATCTAGTGAGAGATACATAGCAGAGAGAGAAAGCTCTGAGCAGAGGGTCGAGTGAATGAGCAGAGAGAGAGAGAGAGAGAGAGAGCTCTAAACAAGGGTGAGTGGTACACTTTTCAGTTTGAGGTCCTTTTTTATGTGGACCTCAACCCACTCTCAAAAGTAGCTTGCAGTGTGTTTTCTGGCTTCTGCTTTAACTTTACATCTCCTGGAAATCTCAAATCCACCTATTTTGGTGGAATTGATATTTCTACAAAATGGGGTTAAATGCATTTCCAGTGTTCAGGGCGCATCTAAACAGGGTGAATGCCTGGTTGGAACCAAATGGGCCCATATTGAAGTTGCTCTTAAAATGTTTACTACGGTAAAGCGAGTAAAGGAAAAAGTTAGCATCTAACATGATCTCGACTGATGAGAATGAAAGATATCGATGGACCCAGGGTTTGTAACCTGTAGTAAGGCAACATAAGACACCGCCTGGCTTAAAGAATTCCAAATGGATTTGAAGTTGGAAGGAGCAACTACTGAGCCAATTGACATGTTCTACAGTGAGCACGCAGTCATTGATGTAGCAAATTATTAAAAAATTAACTCTAAAGTCAAAGCCATTAGAAGGAAATACCAAAAAAAATAAGTGTTGTAAATAAGGATATACTATAATTCTGAATATACTCTTTGTATCACAGCTTGAATTGCTGTCTTGTGGCTTCAAGCACCTAAATCATTTTGATACAACAAGGAGTAGCCTGTAAGTCATGTTCTTAAACTAATTTCATTTCACATATCAAGTTTCTATTCCTGATTTCTGTGATGGAAAACAACTAAACTGAATATTTTGGATGTAACCTTTTCTACTTTGGTTCCATAACAAGATTAAATGTTGGACATACTTTGTCCAATGTTTTACTCTACTGTTTAACTGATCTATCTTCACTCCCCAAATATCTGTACCATCTTAATACTGAAAGATAATTGAAATACTACTATTTTGCAAAAACAGTGCACATTAAAGCATATAAAATAATCAAAATATTTCACTCTTTGATTCAATACAAAGGGATCTGTTATGGTGGTTGCTCATCTCATGTCACTAAACTTTTTCCAGGCTCATGTTCATCTTTTGTTGCAAAATATTTTCTAAGCGTTCACTACCTGTGTTATTTAAAGATCTTTATCACTTGTGTCCACCTAATTCTTTTGACTCGCTCATCTATCAACCAAAAATATATAGATATTCTCAGTTGATTTTTTATATTCTACAAAAAATTTAATGATGCCTCAAAGGGAAGATGACGCAACCCAGAAAGCATCAGTGCCCAATGAATGATGAAAATGATAAAAAAACGCTAGACAACAAATGTAATATCAGTATTTATTTTTATTATACTATGGCAGGACAGAAATATGTCAAGCTCTTTCATAACGTGTCCTGGAAATCCAAATTTCAACAGTTAAGTTCGGGTTCCAAACTCTGAGCATGACCCTTGGGCATGGGAGAAGAGGAGAAGAAAGAGAAAGAGCCCCAGGAGGGGGGAGGGGGGGGCCGGTGGACCGACCCATCTACAAATGCTCTCCATAAAAATGAACAAACAGATTCTCATCTAAAAAGGCCATGTATATAAACAAAGCACAACTGAAAAAGCTAGAGAAGTATTTAGAGTTAAAGATCAGAGGCAACTAACTCTATACGAACCGCTTAAACAAAACAAAACAAAAGCCCATGTATGAAAATATCACAAAATTGCATAAAGATCTATGAATGTTTGCCCAAATTAAGAGTCATGGGAAAAACTTTACAAGATAGAGTTGTCCATAGCCTCTGGAATATACTAATTATCAAACCTGTTAGAAGGGGTGATTTGGTTTAAGTAGAAGGCTCTAAAAGGACAAGGAGAATGCCCAAAAGGACATGGATCGAAGTAGTAAGAAGAAATATGGTGACTTATGGTCTGACTAAGGGTATATAGCCTTTGATAGAGTAAAATAACAGAACACGATTCGTATAGCCAACCCCAAATAGTTGGAATATGGCTCAGATGATGATGATGATGATATAGGTTGACTCAATCACCTACGGCATGATTTGATAAGTATAGTGGTACATTGCAAAGTATTGGGTATCATAGGAGTAGTGCTGACTACTCAGTTTCTTACAAGACAACCTCGTGGTACTAAAATTCTTCTACTATATGTTGAGGACATTGTTATGATGGTTGATGACAAGGAGAGTATTGCAAGTCTCACGCAATACCTACATCATAAGCTTGACATCAACGATTTAGGCTCCCTCAAAAACTTTTTGGTATTGAGGTGGCGCCGCTAAGAGTAACCATCATTTTAGCATAAATATGTGCTTGTTCACCTTAAAGAATCGAGGAAGCTTAAACCAATTGACTCGCTCCTAGATCCTAAGTAAGATGGATCTCATTTCTGGTACTCCTTTGGAAGATGCAGCACTATATAAAAGACTTGCTGGGAAACTCATCCATTTGACTATTCCTAGAATTGATATCACTCATGTTGTGGAACCCATTAGTAAATTCATGATGCACTACAATCTAAACGTATAAGTTCTATCACCAGGATCTCACATGACCTCAAAGTCATCTCCTTGCAAGGAACTCTTGTTTCTCATAATGCAAGAGTTGACTCTCCAACACTTAATAGGCAGGCCATCCCAGTGATAGACATTCTAGCACAGCATATTGCATTTTTCTGTAAGCAATCTGTGTGACTTGGAAAAGTGAAAAACAACATGTTGTAGCCCAATCGCGTGGAGTGGTTGAGTATTGTGTAGCTTCTTCAACATGTGAGCTTATCTGGTTAAGGCCACTTCTCTCTGATATAGTAATTAATCTTGTATCTCCAACTCTGCTTTGCGATAACCAAGTAGTGATACTCATTCAATCGAACCTAGTTTTCCATTAACATACTAATATCTTGAGGTCAATTGTCACTTTGTTCGTGAAACAACGATGGTAATGTACTCGATATATGAAGACCTAAGATCAGCTTGCAGATATCTTTACCGTAGCAGTGGGAAAAACTCCCATGCACACACTTAGTTCTGAGTTGAGCATGCTTGACATCCATCCACCAGATTAGGCAGTATACACAAGAGTGCTGCGTACAGTCAGTAGAGGATTATCTGTATTGTAGCATTAAAGAGTGTCATTGTAGCCAAGGACACATGTAATTACCATACAGAGGGCAAACACATAGTCATGTCTCATATATATTCTAATGAAACCCTAGAGTACTATGACTTGGTCCATTTTTTATTCTCTACAATCGGTTACTTCTCTGCACCATATAACCCTAGGACCAATTCATTGGCTTTATAGAAGCAATATTTTTTCTTTTCCAATATGTTATTCATAAATTGAAATCTTCCTAAAGAAAACAGCAATTATTCGTATGGAAAGATCAATAATGCCACAGCATCAAGTGATGCAGTTCTAGCAATCATAGATACAGTAAAAAATCTGGAGGTGGAGTGTATCTAGATAAGTTAGTCCATAGTAACATGTGATCCAGATCATAAAACGCTGCATCCAATACAAAAACTACTCATCATATGGAATAACATTGGGGAGAAGTAGAATATTAGTACACCATTGCACGTAAGGTTATCCAAAGGAAATCTTGGTACAGGTCTGAATAATTGACATTTTGCATACACAGGGAAGGCCGTCGAAGACCAATAAGATATCATACTGTAAACTAGAAGATGTCGTAAACTAGAAGATGTCAAATTCGAATGGCAATATAAATTGAAGGTTCACTTCTATGAGAATCAAATCATTAAATATAACAAGCACAAGATATGCGTAACCTATAATTGGACAAAGCAAATTATAAAGCTAATGAACATTAGATATACAACACAACACGCACACACACATGCACACTGAGAGAGAAAGAGAGAGAGAGAGAAGAGAGAGAGAGAGAGAGAGAGAGATCTAAGCATAGATGGAAAAGAAAAAGGAAAGAGATCAGGAGCCAAACCTTGAAACTAGTTTAACCTTCGCCTCTTTCGAGCATGGTAAACTTCTCCATCTACGTCTGAAGAACCAGATGCACCAGCTCTTCTTCTTCTAAGCAAGTTGGAAGAGCCAGAACTACTCGGCTCATTAGAGGCATCAACAACCCCATTTTCCACCTGTAAGATAGCAACTGTGCTCGAAACTGAAACCTGATCTTCATGTAGAGAAGTTCCTTGTGTACCAAGATCACGTGAATTTTCCGGGTTGACAGAAGGAGAAGCACCAGAACTTATAAGCATATTATTTATCCTAGCCAACCTTTCAAGCATGCTTTCCATATCAGCAAGCCTGGCACTTAAAGCAGCAAGCCTTCCAGATCTACGTATGCGAGTGAGAGAAAGATGGTTCCACAAATCCAACCCATTTCTAACAAGAGCACTACCTCTCGATCCCCCATCAACACCATCGCGTTGACTTTGAGGTTCTAATAACGACTCAGCTACATCATTTCCAGACAAATCCCTCTCTGGTCTACGAATATGATCAATTAGAGAATCATCAAGGATCCCTTCTTGCCCAACAGCTCTACTCCAATGGCGTAATCCATGCCAATATCTAAAATCCTCCCCTAATCGTCTATTAAAGGAGCGATGAAGTCTTGGTCTTGCACTCTCGATTCTCTGTCCACGAGGTCTCGGAGGCACATTCAAGCTTAAACCCCCCTCTTCCTCACATTTCTTCTCAGAGCCATTATTTGTGCTGCTTCCTCGACCATATATTGGCGTTATATTCGCTTCCGTAACCTCTCCTTTACATACAGGGCATTCCTTGGAATCAGAATGAACATGAAGCCATTGATAGAGGCATTCCCAGCAAAAGAGATGGCCACAAGATGTAACAACAGGTTCTCTTGCTAAATCCAAGCAAATATTACACTCAAAGTTAGCTGCCGCATTGTTCTGTTTATTCAATTTCCCCCCTAAATCCTGAACTTCAGCCTCTTCCATCACTTTTTTTAGTGTCTCTGATGTTCCAGTGGATCTTTCTAAGGGTAAAATATCACGGATTGTATCCCTATCTTCGTCTAAGGAATTTCTTATCTCATCTAATGTAACCATAAGGGCATTAGAGTCCATTTCATGGAAGTCTATACGCCTATATGGCCTTGGCCATCTTCTCCAACGATGTCTATGAGTAACCGGAGAATCAACTGAATATTCTGAAGAATTCATTTGAACTGAGGACCGACTGCCATCCACTGATAATGGCTGTTGAATTGTTGCATTGACACTACGAGAAGAATCACTTAACCCTATGGTATCAATTGGAACATGCGTATCCTCTCTTAGTAATGGCACTGGAACTGATTCTAGTTCTAAACCAGTATGAGGCATCAAAGGAAGGCCTATGTATAGGTTAAGATCCATTCTCTGAGTTTCATTAACTCCATCATCAGCCATTTCTGTAAGTCAATAGACTGAACTAGAAATTATAAATTAGTGGTTTGGAGTAAGATTCTAACCTCAAATTGAGGGTTCAGATCAAGGGGCTCCAAGCAGCTATGTTATACAGAACCCTAGCAATCATATGTACACATTTAGTTTGCCCAAAACCACCCAGATAAATAATGAATATTTACCTGATTTTGTCAGGAATCTATTGCAGGGAGTGGTGGTTCTTTCACAAAACGAGCTCCCTTCTGAAGTGTTCAAAATTCACTGAAAGGAAAAACAAAATTACGATGAATAAATTGAACACAAATCCTAAGATTTAAGTGAGAGATGATTCATCCTAAATAGTAAACTCAGAATCTAAAATTTTGTGCTTTAATACGTTAAAAAGCAGAAAAGAATAGAAGAAAGAATTCACCGAAAAGAAAATAAAGTTGTGTACCCATCAGCTATACAAAACATTATATCATGAATCCAACCTAAAAGAATAAATAAAATACAAATACAAATACTAGTCGCACCCATTAATTAAATTGCAAGGCCATGGTAGAAGCCAAAGAGGAGAAACCCCTAAAAACTGTTACTGCTAACCTAGTCCCTAAAAATATTTTTTAATTTAACGAAACCTTGAAACGCTTTATTGCACAATCGAATATACCATAACATTTCATAACCCGAGCTCAATTTCTCTGGTACTTTCCAAGAAGTTCCAGGTTCATCTGGCTATCCAAAGCTCTGAAAAAACGTAAATTTCGTTAAAAAAAAAAAAACACTTCATGGATTAAATATTACAAGATCATCAAGAGACCCACGACTTAAAAAAGTTACCATACACCCAAAAGCAAATAAAAGAATTACCAGTAAAAGGAATTTGACTTCAAGGTTCCAAAAACCTATAAAACTAATAACTTTAGAAAAAAATACACAACAAATTTAAAAACAATGAAATATAAATAATGGTGAAATATACGTGAAAATTCCCAGCTCATCGTGAGTTATTATCATACAAAAAAGTATCGTTAAGCACAAACCTCAAAACCCTAGAAATAATCAAAATCCAATACTGTAAAACCTAAAAAGAAAATTATCCAGATTCATGAACTGAATCTACTCGAATCATGGACAATTATTTTGTCATCGTTGAAAACACAACGAAAACCCTAATTAATTCCTGAAATCCGGAACTTACCTTGAATTTTAGGGATTTCCTTTAAGGCTTCTATAAAAGAAGCCATTTTTTTTTTCCGCAAGAGAGAGAAGAAATCCAAGCGAGCTCAGACTGAGACTTTAAAGAGAAATGCGAATGATGGACCACAGCCATTCTCTGCGAACACTTAACACCCCTAGAATTCACAAAATTTTCGATAATACCATCATGACTAAAATACCCTTAAAATATGAAATCTTTTTCGATAATGCCATCATGACGGAAATACCCTTGCTTAAGACATTGACTGTCGCGGTTTTGGTGCCTCAGCGGCAAATTGTGAAATTGGAAAAGCATTTGGTGTTCCCATGGAACCATTGTTCATTTTATCAACAATTTGGTCCCACGGCTCAAAAGGCTGCTTTGGGGGCATCTCATGGATTCCAACACTCTGAGGCTTAGCAAGAATAATTTAAGAAAAATAAAGGAAAAAAAACTTCAAAAAATATCATTTTGGAGAATTTTATGCTTAATGTCAATTTTCTTTCTCGAAAATTGATTATAGGGTAATTTATCAAATTACCATGAGAGATGTATAATTTAACACTTTGTGCATATCTTTTCAAAATACTCATGGAAAAATACATCGTCATGTGTTTGAATAGTTGCAAATGGGCAAAATGTCAAATACTCAATCTGCGATGATTATTTTGATAACGGAAAAAGTTTATAAAATGGTGCAATCTTAAGAATTAAAGTTGCACCTCAAAAATCCATCATAAAAGTTGTTTGCATGTTGAGAAACCCTCTAATTGATCATCTCGATATCGATATCGAGATATATGAATATGAAAAGTAAAAAAAATCTCGAGTTCGTGAAATAATTATCTTGCAACAAATTATCTTTACCATCTATTTTCAAGATTATCATGTATTTATAAATCTATTTGATTTGAATTATTTTTAGCATTTGAAATTTTATAATTTGAGATGAAAATAAATTCTCAAGCCATCATAAAAAAAAAATTATATCTATAGTATATTTACGATAAAATTTAGAGGGGTGCGTTAATTGGATTGTTTAAACTTGCAACCGTATGCAAACCTCTCCCTTTCGATAAATTGCCCTTGATTATATGACAAGTAATCACACGATCATTGAACAATTCGATCCTGCACGACCCGTTGTGCCTCTAAAATTTATCCATATCTAATTTATTTATTGGATACAAATATTATCATCTATATAAGCATCGCGTGGTTTCTATGAGGTTGCAACCTTAAACAATCCAATTCAAGTGCTCCTCCAAATGTTATCATAATATATAATTTTGATGTAAAAAATTCTTAGAATTATCTCAAAATCTATTTTATATTTAATTACAAAATTTTAAACCCTCAAAGAAACTCTTGAAAATGGATGGTCTATATAATGTGTTGCAAAATGCACTATTTATGAGACTCAAAAAAAAAAAATTATTTCATATTCATACATCTCAATGTCAAGATGATCAATGAGATGGCTTTTTAACAGTAAAATAATAATTTCCAGTGGATTTTTGAGGTGCATCTTTAATTCTACATTTTAAGATTGCAACCTCATATAAATTTTAAGGTTGCAACCTCATATACAATAAGGAATACAAAATATTTGGATATATCTAACTAATTTAGGGTTCATAAAATGTGAGTTTTGCATAATAGATCAAAATAGTGTACTACTAAAAAAAGTCAATTATTCAATAAACAACAAAAAACAACAAATATTAATACAAACATAAAATAAACAACAAATATTAATACAAACAAACAAGTTGTATAATATTTACCCAAAACAACAATACAATATAGTGTACTATTATATATATCAACATGTACTACTAAATAAATCGATTGTTCAATAAACTACCCAAAACAACAAATATTAATACAAACACAAAATAAACAACAAATAATTATACAAAATAAACTTCGACAATTTTTACCAAAAAAGGTCCACTACAACAATACAAAATAAATAGTAATAACAAAATATAATATTGTATTAATTGTGACAAAATTAATCAACAATATAAGGCGTGAGTAAGAAATGTATGAATCACAACCAGACTAAAAAGCAATCTCTTCAACTTTGTAGGATATTGTATGGGGGGATAGAAAAGTTTGTAGGATATTGTATTAGGGGACACATATTTTTTAGAACCCTAAATTATCTAATGCTCGAATGATGGGGTTAAGTTGGGTTTTTTCAGGGGTAAATTATCGGTTATTCAAAAACCGAAATGTTTTAAATTTTTATTTTAAAAAATCGAAAATTTAAAATTTTCAGTTTTTCAATAACCAAAATTCAGCCATTTTGGTTGTTTAAAAATCGAAAAAGGGTACAAACGTTTTTTTAAAAAAAATTGGTGAAGAAAACGGACATAATAATAGAAATTATTTGATATTTTGATAATATCCTAACAAATATTTATGTAATTTTCCTATAAGACAAGACTTGCAAGAAAATAAGTTGTACATGGCCATAGTGGGGCTGGCTGCGCCATACATTAAATAGGTGTTGTAGTTTAATGTTTAGTATCCTGAAAGAAAGTTGTTTTTATGGTTAAAATTGAGAATGAAACTCTTTTGCACCACGTCTCTAAATGAGGGTCCAACTTCTCCCAGGTTAAATACTAGTCTGAGTTGTACGTAAAATTGATCGGTAGAAGAGTGATCAAATATTCACTGACCTAAGAGATCTACTTGGCGATAGTTGATGTTAGAGATCTATCTCTATTAGGCAATAATAGCTCAATGTTAGATAGTAAAAAGTAAAAAAAAAAATTTATTTTTCTTAATTATTATTTATTATAAACTTTTTAAAACCAGTTATGGAACGTTTTATTTTATTTTTTTTGTGTTAAAAAAACACTTTAATATGATACTAATTATTGTGTTGTTTATCAAAAAGAAAAATGTGGCTTATATGGGTTTGTATGAAACATTTACAAATTTAGAACTCTATGATAAAAATAGTTGAAAAACTACTCTTGTAGGACAAAAAGAACTTCTCCAATAATATTTTATTTTATATTGTGAAAATCCTTAAAAAATACGTTAGAGTGCCATGGAAAATTAAAATCATTTAAAATTTATAAATTAAGATATGCAATATTTTAAAATTAAAATTTTATTTCAAAACTTATGATTTTAAAGAAAAGTTAAAAAAATACAGAAAAGTGAAAGTAGAATAGAAATAAAAAATAAAAAAATAAAAAAGTTAGCCATAAACTATTTTTTAATCATAAAAGTATGCACTTAAATTTTCAATTTTCAAAAAAACAAAAAGAAAGAATAAAAATTGAAATCCTATTCTTTTTATATTTATTATATTTTTCATATTTTACAACATAATTTTTTAATATTTATTTATGTAAAAATAAATAATTAAAAAACATTTCAAAGATTAAAAAATTTAAATTCAAAACTTTAGAATTTAAATATTGGAAAATAATTTAGTATTTTTAAGCATTTGTTAGTTTTTATGAAATAACCAAAAAGATGATGAAAATTAATGAAAATAAAAACCGCTTTATTGAAATCGGAAGAGAGATAAAATAGAGATGAAGAGAGAAATGTTGTTGTGAACCTTATGAATAACAGAAGAGTTGTGTAAATGGCTATGAGATTTTGATATATGTGGTAGTTGGTAAGTGAGCCCTGGCTTTGGAGTTTATCCTCTTGCCTAAATGACATGTTTTGCATCCAATGCTCTAGATCTCTGTCAACTGTTACGCATTCTTTTTTCATTCTCTCTCTCTCTTCCCTAAAAAAAAGGTTTTGATTAAAAAATCTCCATTAGCGCATTCTTGATGGGTGATTAAAAAATGAAAAGATAATGACATTTACCAAATATGGATAGTCAATGAATTCAAAGGAAATAAGACGAAAGTAAATTAATATTTATTAAATGTATTTAAAATTGAAGGAATGAGAGGGACCGTGAAGTAAATGGTAGTCGTGAGGCTCTATTGTCATACTCCAATAAAAGAAATATAAAAAAAACATAAATTTTTTAGAAAAAATTTGAAATTCATAATTAAATGAAAAATTACTACAAAACAAAAAAAAAAGTACCAAATCACACTCGTTGTTGATGAAACATTAGTATTTAGAATTTTACATGTGATAACAACATTAAGCATCAAATAAAAAGTACATAATAAATAAAATTTTTGGAACATGAAATTTATTAGCAAGTATGAGTTGTCATATCAGGTACTCTAAATAAAATATTCTCACAACAAGATTGTGAACCAAAAAATATATATAGTGAGGTGATTGTGAAATTATAATTAACTACATACCTTCAAGTGGTAGGGTTTTTCAGTACAATTTCACTCTTGTTCTACTATGCACATGAAGTAGAACCATTTAAATTTTCAATGAAAAATACAACTTATCTCAAAAGATGAAAATGATCGTAGACCTTCATAGATTGCCAAGAGTACATTCACAAAGCAATATAATTAGAAATATATAAGCATAGAGAGCAAAAAAAATTAATGCAAATTTACTCTGTATATATTAGTGAAGGAAGACGATATCTCTCCAGAATTATTGGTTTATCTTATAGCATGCTTCACAATATACACAGAAAGGCACAGCTATTGCCCTATAAGTTTTTGTATATTATTAAAAAAGAAAATTATTTCATTTCTTTGAAGACAATTGGAAATTTTAGATAAAATTTTCTTAAAATTTACTCCTTGTGTGGGTAATCTTCTCTCTCTATTTTCATAAAACTCTCCCATATAAAAATTCAACCTGCCTATAACTACTTTCATATCACATCACTCATCTCTTCCAAAAGGTGCCTTAAAACTCTCCCATCAAAATTCAAAAATTAAGGTACCTTACTACTCTCCCATCAAAATTTAAACATTATATAACTAGCTTCATCTCACGCACCTGTTCTATCAAAATTCAAATGTATAACTAGAGCAACAAAACGACCCCTATAAGTAATGTTTTCTCTCATTCACTCTACTCTTTTTCTTCATTCACTCTACTCTAACTCATCGTTCTCTCTTTACTATCATTCTCTTTCTTTATTACACAAATCATATTTAATCTTCTTCACACACTCTTGACAGA